TAGGGAAAGCCTCCAGACAAAACTCAGTGACCCCTAGTAAGAGAGTGGACTGGTTCCAGGTGCTTTCCTAAACTCCAGATTTTTCCAGCAGCTTTTGGCTGCAGTCCCCCCTTCAGGCACTGCAGAGCACTTATCAGGATCTTAGAATCAAAGCTGAATGTTTTTAAGCAAATAGAGTGCAATATCACCCAGATATCCTTATTAGATGGCTTAGACTCTGTAGCATTATGAGAAAATGACACCCTGATTCGATGTTATCCATGTTTTGTATGGGTGACAGCAATGATCCTCAAAGGATGTAAACGGCCAAATATGAACTACTAAAGAGGCACTTGGGTGCTTCATGAGAAGGTGCACTGAGTTAGCAGGCAAACAGCTGTATGGTTTAGAGACTTTTGGCTAGGATTTCTTTCACTAGGGAACGTTGGATTTCAGTATTACATGTCAGTCAGTGATCGACAAAAATACAAAGAATCCCAATGACTCTGGTGATCCTCTGACTTGTTGTCTAGCATCACAGAGAGGTGAAAATTCATGATTCAGAGTATAATATACTGACAACTATTGGATGGATTGCCATGAAATCCCCACTAATTTTCATGGTTCGGGTAGATGCTAATGATTCTGGAGATCAAACAAAGTCTCATCTTGCTTCATGATTACAATTAACCTCAACTGTACTTTGCATTTTGTGCCAATTAGCTATGTTATGCTAAAAGGCTAAACTATGATGGTGCACCTGTAAATATTATAAGCTAAACATCAGAATGTTAGCATCAGGAAACATCAGGATGTTGGCCACTGGTGATGAAGATAACAGTTTCTGCAGAATAATCCTATTATTACCACCTCCCATAAAGTAACCTATCATCCAGAACAAAAGGAGAAGTCATGGATATCTGAAGCTAACTTGCAAATTAACCCAAAATTACCCCCGACTGGAATTCTTCAGTGAGGCATTTAACAGAGACTGATAAGAGGAATAAAAAGTTTGGTCACATTTTTTCTTCTAAACTGAATGACACTATTAATAGAGCCGGGGCCCGCGTTTAGCAGATGTGTGATACGTTCTCATCTCCTGCTTCCTGCTTCAGTGGAAATAGGGAGGAAGTTGAGGCTAGCTGGCTGAGCCACGTGATCAGCATAGCTGCCCATAAAGTCAGGCAACAAAACACCATTGATGTTTTTTGACAAAGAATATTCAAGCTTGCATTGCTTTCATTGTAGGAATCTGTTCAACTTTCTTTGACTTTTAAGTTCTCTACAAGTGTTCATCTTAATATCAAGTTGGAGTTCATTACATGTCCAAGTTGCTTTCAAATAAAGATGTATACATATGTGACAACTGGCCCAATCAGCACCTTCCTTTGCCTCTTGCAGCTGCAGACATCAATGACTGTAATTTCAATATACTGCAATGAGCTTGCAGCCCTGCAGAGTTCTAGAGTCTGGGCTTGTACAAACACAAGCTCAGAGCCTTCTAGGAAGAACCACAGACATAGAGCTCAGGTTATATCTGCATCAGTTATTCGAAAACCTAGCCACAACTGCACATTAAGGCATATATATTGTATCACACATGCACGCATTCAGAGACACACCAGGAAGGTAGATGTGTTGAGGTTTATTGCAGTCTGAAATGACTCCCTGACTGCTTGCAGTGTAGGACACCTTTTTTTGCAGCAGTGCATCTATGACAAGTGGTGTTTTATTCTACCCTGAATTAAAGCAGCATGCTATAAATCTATAGTTTTCTGTCTGTCAACGAGCATTGTGAAAAAACAAAACCAAACCAGTAATGCACTGGACTGTGTTATACTACTTTATTACTCTGTGACACTTGCTGCTAAACCAATTGGGTGTAGGTTATACTGTAGTATATAGTGCATTTGTTGGGGACTGTATTTACAACACCATAAGTCACTTACACACAAGTGCCAACCATCAAGATTTTAATAGCAAAATACATTTTCAAAAAAGTATAATGCCGTTTCTCAATTTATATTAGTCTGCTACTTTAATAGCTTATGTCAAAGCTTAGATTAAGAGCTTCAGTGTGCTCATTTTAATTTTCCAATCAAACAATCCAAACAGTACTGTCAGCACTGCTTTCCACTCAGTACTCCTCACCCTTTCCTCCCTACCTCCTTCCTTTTTGCTGCAATCTCAGGTTCCTTTTCTATAAAATCTCTCTATATGGCTCTATGCCCACAAGCCTATAAAACGACTAAACTGCAGTAAAATCTATGTACAGCAGTTGGAAGCCTGTAATATCCATGAATGCACTTGAATCACACACAGTTTCATGCTCTCTATAAATACATGAGCCTTAAGTTATATAAAATACCTCAAAACTATTAACCTGACAAAAGAGTCAACGCACAATGCGACAACTCAATGAGATGGTTATAACAACATATCCTGTTATTTTAAAAAAAGGACATTCCTCAATTGCAGCGTTGCTTTATTTCGGCCCTTTCCCTTCCTCTTTCCATCCACATTTGCATTCCTTCTTCTTTTTTGCCTCTCTTTCTCACCCTTCTCATCTCTGTTGTGCTTCGCATATTCCTTCATTACCCACTCCTGCAATCCCCTCCTCTGTCTAGGCTGCATGAAAACAGAAATACAGACTCATGCATATAATTTATTGGACACTCAGAAACAGAGACAGTGAGTCAGCCCTAAACTGTGCACTAGTACAGTATTAGGCTGGCTGCTTTACATTTTCAGTCCATTTCTCTGCCTATCTGGCACCTGTCTTCCCTTCCTCATGGTAAAAGAGAAGCCAGAGGATGTCAGTGAAAGCTGAAGAAGGGAAAAAAAGAGAGAGAGAGAGTAAGACAGAAAGACAGAATGTGAGCAAGGCTGACTCCAGATTAAAGGACAACATTCTGTGAATTCCTTTCAGATGAGCGCATCCTCCCCCTCATCACCACCACCCTCGGCCCTCACTGCTGCTATAGCTCCCTGATCCATTTGGAGGAGGAAATGGCTTCTTCTCCCCCAGAGGACCTCCAGACCTCCTGGGCCAGACCTCCAAGCCTGCCTGACCTGTGCCATCAGCACACTATGCAGGTACAGTGGAGGAGTAAAACAATAGAGTTTATGTATGCGAGTGTGGGGGTGTCAGTACCTGCACATGACTAAAGAGCACCTGTTTTGCCTGGATGCGAAAATGCTTTTGTGTGCATCTGCAAATGTATGTAAGTTATCTGCAGCATGTGTTCGATGGTTAGGATAATGTCAGTATATTGCAACTTAAGACTCAAGAGACTTGTGTAGATTTGGCCACCATTCCTATCTGTGATTAGACAATGTATTCAGCCGATTGCTTAGACCTGGGAATGCAGCAGTATCTCTAGAAGGCAGTTTGTATTTCTTGCCTCTGTGTTTTATCACAGGGTCAAAAAACACAGGATGCTAAATGAACTAAAATGAAATTTTTAAACAAACCCCAACATTAGCCAAGGTTAAGAGAATGATAAAATTATTGTCTAGTGTATGGATGATTTTGTTCAGCTTTGACCTTAGACAGAGCTGGGTTAGCCACTTCCCAGTGTTTAAAGGCTTTATATTAGGAAAAGTTAATCACTCTCTAGCATCATATGTAACAGACAGACATGAATGCACAAAGTAATAACAGCTGGTAGAAATGACAGCCAAAAGTACAAAAACAAGACTGTAGTGGTAACAAACCAAAAGAATACTTATCATGAGCAAATTATGGAGTCAAGAACCACATTCTTCCCCCTTATCCTCCTCAACTCCCACCACCACTACCATGACACAGACATGTTCCTATCAGCCTCCATGTGAACTTCCAAAGTGTACCTTCAGAGTGACCCAGTGCCATGAGTATGACTGAGGCCAGGGCTTAGGGTTGCAGCGCCAGATGCACTGGGTCTAATGGCGCTTGGCCATGGGCCCGTGTTTACATTCCCTCTCACTGAGGAAGCCCAGGATGAAAGAGCAGCACTGCACACACTGACATACCATCAACACACATGCGCACACACACACACAAGCACTTTAGCCAAATGACTATTTTAACTGAATCAATGAGCAACCCTGAACGGAAGTTTTAACTTTTTGCAGTGCAGTTTCTTCCCTCAGGTATTTGGTTTGACTGTCTTATGCTTTAGGCCTTGAGCTAAAATTTGATTACATTCCTGAAAGCAATTCACCACAAATTAAACTCATCCTGAGTGAATCGCCGAGGAAAACTTTAGAGTGTATAGGCAGGCCACATATGGGAGAAGCAGAGTGGATGTTATAATAATATATGCACTCAGAGAGTACAGTGGAGCTGTGGCTGTGATGTTGTGTCTCCAGAGAGGCCCCATTCAAAGCT